AGGGCCCTTGAGGGATCCCATGACTATTCCCACCCTTAAAGGGAGGAAGTTCAATTATGTTCCCGGTACACAGTATAAGTGGTGATTCACAGCTCCCAAAGGAGACCACCATCCCATGTGAACTGGGCGGGGGTGGGGGTGGGGGGAGGGGGATGCCTTTACATGCCCCCGATGCAGAACCAGGAAAAAATTTTTTTAAGTTTCTTTATTTTTCACTAATCTCTACACCCAACCTTGGGCTGGAACTCTTAACCCTTAGGTCAAGAGTCGCATACTCTTCTGACTGAGCCAGCCAGGTGCCCTGAGCCAGGAAGATTTCTGATAGGTGAGGAAGTGGCAGGATTCCCAAAATAAAGGCTGTACACTGCTCCTCTTTTTTTAATAGACCCGCCTTTCTTAAATAAAAGTGGCAGACACAAAACACACCAAAAGAATAGACACCTTGATTTGCCAATTCTTCTCAGTTTAAGCCAATCTTCTCTTCAATTCTCTTACCAACCTTATTCTTACTTCTACATAGTCTACTCCATTGCCACGAAAGTTTCATTTGGAACTAGCAAGTTGTTTGACATTTAATAAAAATCCGTAGTTTTTCTAATTTTCTATTCAAATTTCTTAACATTTAAATAATTTTTTTCTCATAGGCATAGTTGACACTGAAATAGCCAGGACCATTTTACAGCACAAATACCTCCGGATAACAAAATGAGACAAATCATACACCTTATCCTTGTACCTCAGAGAAGCATCTGACTCCAAGCAATTCCAGGGGCAAAAGTGATTATGAACATGCCTCTCCGAGTACTCTAGCAAAGGAGACTCAAGGAGAAGTTTCCTGAGATCGGGGGTAGAGAATCACAGAAATAGGCTCTATGCCCCTCAGTTTCCTTTTTATGTACAAGGGAACTGAAGCTGCTTGCCCCCAGGATCCTGCCAGACTGCACAGTCTCAACTTGAAGCCAACAAAATAGTAATTTCAATCACCCAGCGATGCCTAGGTGGCTCAGCTGGTTAAGTGTCCAACTCTTGATTGCTGCTCAGGTCATGATCTCACAGTTTGTGAGTTCAAGCCCCACATTGGGCTCTGTGCCGACAGTGTGGAACCTGTTTGGGACTGTTTGCCTTCCTCTCTCTGCCCCTCCCCTGCTCACACTCCCTCTCTCTCCAAAATAAATAAATAAAACATTTTTAAAAAATCTAGAGACCAAGAAGGGGATCAAGGAATAGTTAGTGGAGGGTGGGGCCCATTACAGCAAAGATCCAGGCCTAAGTGGGGGTAGGAGGGTGGATCTATAGAAAGAGCCATTGGGGAAACTCCTACATGGGGTCCAAGCTGTGACACTTCTTCACAGCAATGATGCCTGGGTACAGTAGAAGGGGCATCTGGAGGAAAATTGACTTCAGTTGGAAAGCTAGGGAGTAGGTTTAGGTTGAGCCCTCTTTCAAGCTAAAACAGCAAAGATAAAACATACTCATAGTGAGTCATGAGAGCTCCCTAAAGAAGCTTGTATGTCTGTGTGTTGGTGGAGGGACAGTGGAGCTGGCTGGCTCCAGAGAGGGAAAGAGATAGTGCAGTGAGCCTTCCAGGACCTTACAAAAAAGTTAACCCCAATCCCAAGCAATCATGTGACTTTCAGTGAAAATGTGTGATTTCTTCTTGCCATTTGGCAACTACATGGATGAAACTAGAGGGCATTATGCTAAGCAAAATTAGTGAGGCAGAGAAAGAGAAATATCATGTAACTTCACTCATATGAGGACTTTAAGAGACAAAACAGATGAACACAAGGGAAGGAAAGCAAAAATATTATAAAAACAGGGAGGTAGACAAAACATAAGAGACTCTTAATTATGGAGAACAAACAGAGGGTTACTGGAG